CCTTCGTCGTCGCGTGGTTCGTTTTTCGCGTCGTCGTCGTTTATTGTTCATTTCTTTTCGTTCTGGACCGTGCACCGCACACCGCGTCGTCCCGGACTGCACTGCTCCACGCCTGGGCCCGTGCAATGCGCCCCCGAGCATCGCCGTGCACCGCTTCGGTGTCCGCGCCGCACCGCACTGCACCGCGTTGCACCGCACCGCGCCACACTGCGTGTGGCAGTGCATCGCACCGCACCACACGTGGACCCGCGCAATGCGCCCCGGAGCATCGGCGCTCACTGCTTGTGGTGTGCGCTAGCTCCGACACTGAATGGGAACCGCGGTCACCGGCTCGATCCCGGTGCATGAGGTTTTATTTGTTTTTTTGTTCGGGACCGCTTACCGCACCGCACCGCACTGCACCTCACCGCACCGCACCACGATTTAACGCGCAAATCGCAAAACATTGGCTGCATCGCACTGCGCAATTCGACATGCGCCGACTCGTGCATTTTAACGCGCAACCCACCACACAACTCGACGTGCAATTAAACATGCAATTCAACGCGCAATTTAACGTACACCGAACCACGCAATTTGACGCGCACTGAACTGTGCAGTGCTTGTCCAACGTTGTCTGTGTAGGCTGTACGGCATTTTGTGAAGCTGTTTTGTTCATGGATGTTGGCTCGCTACAATATAATTGCACCGCATATATATGCATCCGGTTTACTTATTTTCAGATACGGTTGCTTTAAAGCTGGCGGTTGTAGGCTAGTTGTGCTGCCGACATAAGCTGCGCGGTATTTCGCGAAGCTGGCCTCTTTACATGCATCGGCTCGCTAACCGATTTTCGCCAGACGACAATATCTCGGAACATCAACGGTTGTTCGTCGCCATTGATGGCTATTCATCGCCATCCTCGTCTGCACGTCCTACACGATACAAGGTCAGCCCACGTTGCAAAGCAGTAGCAATGAATAGAAACGACGAATAGCAGTGAGTAGAAACGATAGCAAGAATAGCAAGGAATAGAATCACAATGCGCACCGAAGTGTGATGCGCAACACAACCTGACCCGCGGGACGGTTTGCACGGTCGGTCGTGTTCGCTGGGTCGTGTACCGCGTTTTTTTTATTTCCATTGAGACCGCGCACCCCACTAGCCATGTCTCGGCTCGTCATGCTTCGTCGTGCTGTATCATCGTGCTATCTCTGTCACCGTGTGGGAGCCGCAGTCGCCGGCTCGATCCCACGACAACATCTCGGCACATCAACGGT